CTTGGCAGCTGTTGATATGATACCACGCTATTCATTTCGTTCTCGTTGTACAATAAGAAAAGCATGTTCAGTCGAATGGCTTTCAGTGGGGTGTATACCACACTTAAGCATAAAACGCTGATCCCAAATCTGCCTTCTTTATTTGAGGAACATATGGACGAGGAATTGAGCGCTTGTTAAAGTAAATAATTGGATGTAAAAGTAGGACAAAGATAGGCGTAATACTTTTCATAGCTCTCCAATGGAGCAGAGATAAGGTCAGCGCACTTTACTGAATAAATACTCTGAGATATGTTTGGATCCGAGAATAAAAATTCGATCATTAGAAAGAAAGAATTATTTGAATATATTCGCATCGAAATTCGATAATCAAAGTTTTTCATTCTCGAATCAAATTCGAAACTCGAATAATTGAAAAAGGAGTCTCGAATAAATTTCGTTTGAATTTTTGATTCGAATTCGTATGCGATTAAAATCGTTTCCTTCTCAAATTATTCGTGTTTGTTGCAAAGCTAACTGCTAAGTAACAAGCTCGCTTTGTTTGCATTTCTTTCGCAAAATTCGATTATTTGACTTTTTCAGCCGTAATCACCTATGAACTGCTTAAAAACTCGCATTTTTAGAGCTGCTACAGTTAAAATATAGATGTGGATTTTGATTGATTGCTTTTGACCAATGAGTTAGTTCGCACTCATATTGGTAAATCAACAGATCGGCAAAAAGCAGCCATCGAATTCAAGCTCATGTTCCGAGTTCATATACTGAAAGCGTGTTGACATATCTGTTTCTCTTCCTTTGCGTTGCTCATGCTTTAGGTACGCAAAGGTCCACGTTAGTGAGCACTCTTGCTTGTAAAAGTCATGTTGCACAACTGCCTCTACCGTTTATTTCAGAGATTATTCGCTAACAGTGTATTTGTGTAAAGGAAGTCGCAGCGGTAGCGGATAGGATGGTTGCTGAATTTTGCAGTCATATACCGGTTACAGTTATATGCAATAAAGTTTTGTTCAGATAGTATATAATAGTTTTGCCATCACAGTGCACTCAAGATTTAGCAGAGATGCAGGCAACTCAACACCAGCCTATCAACTATTTTGAAGGCTAATGGCGAACGAAGACGGTTCACCTCGAGAGTTACGAGCTGTTTACGGCTTTGCCATACTTTACGCGACAATGGACGCGATTTATTAGTTACCAGATGTCTTCACGTGTAACGCCAGTTTACCAAAAAGTGTGGCATGTATAATTTTGTAAATAGATAAATGTCCTGCTTTCTCTACTTTTAGACTACGCCTTTGATAGGTTAAGAATAGTTTCACTATTGACTATTGACTTCGATTTTGAATGGCTCTGAGCTACGGCGCTGGGAGTTGTTATGATGGGGTATAGAACGCTGATTATGAATAAAAATCTACCCTATTGATTGTACCGACTTTTAAAAAATTTTAAGCTACGAAACAGGGAGTTGATATAGGGGGTATGAGGGTGCTGATTTTGAATGAATCGGCTCTAGCCAGATATGTCAGCAATTTTGGGTATGGTTGCTCTAGTTGATCGATAAATTGTTCGAGTGTTTGCTCGAAATTCGACTCCCAATATTCGACAATCGGTATTAACATTTGTTTTTTCTGATTTTCCGATTATATTCGGAATCGAAATCGTTCGATATCGTTTATTCGAGATTTTTATTTTTGATTTTATTCGATATTCGTTTATTCGAAATATTTCAATTTCGAATCTATTCGACATTCTTTCATTCAATGAAAATTTTCGAATTTTCCTAAGTATAGCCCAAAACGTTCCGCAGGTAAGGAAGGCAGGTTCGGAATCACCGCTTTATGCCCTTCAATGTGGTATAAATCCCATTCAAGACAACATCGACTAAATAACCTTTCCTTGTGAGTTAACGTTCTAATCGTGCTGTGAGGTAGCGAACGTTTTTCCGAGTTTCAACCAAAGAGGATATAACGTTTTACGGAGCAAATAGTGCGATGCTACAATTTTGCAGTTTCTGGTGATTCTCTGGTGATCATTCAAGCTATGTAACAACATAGCATAACAGCATATAATGCCTAAGATCTCCAAATGTCCTTTGTGGCGTTAGAAGTTTTGAGCTAGTTACGTAATGTTGAAGGATATGCTTTGAGAACTAGATGATGCCTTAAACATGAAGTAAACAATCTAAAAATATCTTTAGGGTTAATAATGTTAAGCATTTGGATTGATATGCAATGATGGAAGCGACTCTTCCCCGCCTTCATTCTGAAGCTGGTATAGAATATACCAGCTTCAGAATGAAGGCGGGGAAGAAGCTGGTATAGACCAGCGTCTTTTTTTGGGCCTGATAAACCTTTTACATTGACTGAATAGAATATGAGAAAAAGTGGAATCAGTTAAGATTTTATATGTCTCATTGAAGAATGTCCCAATTCAAATTCTTGGCTGAAGGCCGCCAATGGAGAATTTTGAGGTATTTCGTCCTCGGGTATATACTATACCTGTAAGAAGCATCAGTCACACATATTATCTACTAGCTGGCTTACCCGGCTCCGCCTTATGTTCCGAATAAAAAATTCCATTTCTTAACCGATCCGGACCAAACTTGGCACACATACACTTCGGGCCCCGGCGGGTGTCATAGGCTACTTTTCGTCATCGATCGGTATCGATTTTATCGATTTTTTGCAAAATTTGAGCTACGGGGCTGGGAGTTGGCACAGGGGGGGTAATCGAGCATGCTGATTACGAATATAATAATGACAGGGTCGGGCGGAGCCGGGTAAGTCAACTAGTAATAAATATAATATCCGTGATCAGCATGTCGAATATCCCCCCCCCCTCCCCGTACAAAGTTGCAACTTTAAATTTTGGGAAAAAAGTTGGCACGAAACTAATGCTGCAAGCTGATACGAGGCACGCTTTAAGGTCTTGCTCCTCGTATAGCCGAGCAGTCTCAACATTCATTTACTTTCCACTTCTTAGATTTAATTCTTGATTGCTTTGAATTCTTCGACTTCACCCTTGTGCAGTGCCATATGGTATTTTCAGTGTCATAAATTATTTCGAAAATAACATTAAAATTAAAACGTAATTATGTCATGTTTAATTATGTTCAATTTAGAAACACCACAATCAACTTTTTTCATCCTTGCTCACTCATTCTGATTATCAACTTAAATAAAAATAGGTCATTGAGTTTTTCACTGTTCTAGGTCGATGACCAAATCTAACAGACAAGCAAAAGGCTAGTGGATACATAATCTTTGACTCAACTGGGCGTCTGGAAGGCGGGGCTTTGTGACTTAATTAAGGCGCTCGCGCCTGCGACGAGTCTGCGTCTCCCTCGCAAGCGTGCTCTCTGATTATAGTCTAGCCTCAACTAGGCCACGAAGTCCCGCCTTTTCCAGGCCAAAGCCAGTTAAATCAAAGGATACATAGATGTCTTCAAACTAGCAATAAAGCGAGCGGAAACACGGACGCCAAATTGTGCGCTTGAAGATTTCAATAGCAATGGAGCATGAAAAGCGATTACAATAGACTCCCTTAGCTCAACAACATATTCATGTTCTTTATACTCTGGGAGAATGTGTGACGCACACCTTTGCTTAGGCAGTCTTTTTACGTGTGTCAAATGAGTGATCGGTCATAAGCGTATGAAGCGATTCACGTAATCACACGCTGATAGTAAGTTGCTTCAAAGTTTTTGCTTTCCTCGAGGTTTCACAAATTCTTATAATACCTTTGACATGCATCCTATGCTTGTTGAAGGCCCCAATCTTCGGTGTCCTCACGATGCAAAAGCTTGTAGCAAAAACAATGAGCCATTCATATCTACGAAGAAAAATTGAAATTTGAAAGCATCGCTAATGCAACTTACTCAGTTTTATATCGCTTTCAGAAAGAAATTTGGTTTTGACATTTTCGGTTTATGCACGGCATGTTCTCAAAAGGGAAGTGCAAACAAATGACGGGAAACTTCGAGAAGTTGCTGGAAATGAGAGGAACACTTGGATAGCTTCAGAAAATTCTACATTCCATTCCAAATCGCAGCATGATCTCGCAAAAGACGCTTACATTGGAATAAAACACTATACAACAAAGGGAAGAAGACAAATCGAATGGCATGCTCGTCGGTTGCTTTTCAGATGAATCAAATGGATAAATTTTGCACTTCGAATTAATATTGAGATAAAACATTTGGTGAAAAAAAATTGTACGAAATGATTAACGAATCTGTATCTCTGCGGTAATTCTTTTTTGCGGTACTGCTCTCTCCCGCAAATCTCATTTAAAAACTCGCTTTTGTAGGACGAAAGATAAACAGCCGTGCAACATTGCAATTACCATCGCCAACAGCTGCACTTTTACGTGTATCTTAGCACTAATGGTGGTACCTTCGAGCACTACAATTGCTTATAGTCACCAAACTTTGTCCGTAGTTGAAAAACTCACTACGACCGTTATTGTTTACTTGTACTCTAAAGTCAGAGCGAACACCATTTTTTCAAATTTATTACTTTCGTTGCTAGCGGTATAAATGAAGCGAGGGGAATGAGAAAAAATGAATGAAGCTGCTCTACATTCTTAGCGTAAGTTAGACTTCTAACGCTTTCATGGACTTAGCCTTCAACATTTAGAATCTTCCTTTGTTGGCTTTTGCTCCTAGATATTCTTACAATAACTTTCATATTCGTGCTCTTGCTTGCGGGGTTGAGCCCTATACCATAGCCTTCATGGACAAACTATTCAGTCAACTGGGAAAGGAAGGTGTAATTTGATATCATGACCTTTAAAATTGCTTTTGATATCATTTTTCCTCATCAGCCGAGGACGTTTGCTTTTGAAAAAATAGCAAACTGGATTTTACAGGTATTCTTTCGGGACTAATAAACGATTAACTACCGATTTCAATTTCACTGCAGATCTTGACTTTTCAGGCAACTACATTCAGATGCACACTAGCTTTGGGAGCTCGAAAAATCTTATCAAAAGCACCGAGGATGACTCACCTTGAAAAACATCAAGCCGATCGATTTTATCGCAAATTCAAGTAAGCTAAGCTTACTATCTCTCCCAAATTTGCAAGGAGGACTTGTAGAGGACTTTTACAGAAACGACAGGCCGGACCTCGACGAACTCGCTGTTAATGTTACCTATATGTTCAAGGGTGAGCATCTCCTAAAAAATCTTTTGAGAGTTGAAAGTCTGTAATTGAATGCTCAAAAGTGTGAGACTGCCTTCTAAATTACCTTTACAAAAATTTAAACTCAGTCGGTTCATTTGTAGATGGATTACATTTCTGCCAAGCATTCATTTTTCATCTGCGAATTTTGCGCGCAAATTACGGTTTACAGAAGTACCGGTTCAACCACAAACGAAGGTTTCGGTTTTGATAATTCCATCAAAAGATGATGCAAAGAACCTAGTCCATTTTATTTTAATTATTACGGCTACTCTAACTCTCGAAATTCATCATATTTCAAAAGCAGTGGCTGGGGAAAATTATCGCGAGCCACCTACAACTACTTGGCCTTTTTGATCGGCTGAGTCCTATATTTGGTCGTAATTTCATATTCAAACTACTTTTTCCGTTTATTCTCATGATGCAACCCATTTGCGTGACGATTTTTTCTGCCCGCCTAAATATTTTTTCTGCTCAAAATCTCCTGATATCTTCCGTCTTTTTCTTTGTTTTTGCAGTCTTCACCACTTTTGAATGATCTGCTTTTCGTTAGCTGTGTACCAAACGTTTACCTCAATTTTGAGAGGTGGAACCGTCTGGCGTCATGGCTAATATTAGGTTGTCTCATAAGTTTTTAATTTTACCTGAAGCAATACTCACTCTCTACTCAAGTCTGATTATAATGCAGGGTACCGTTCGATAGAGCAAAGCAAGCTCTATAAGATGGCGCGTGAGTGTTTGCACCAGCTTCAGCACACCACGAGTTAGAAGCCGAAATCTGAGAACTTCTGGATGCCCAAAAAATTAAAATTTTCTGTAACTTTGCCCGAAGAAAACTTATCAAATCCCAAACTCGCTCATGCATATACATTCCACAAAACACATTCATATGTGCCGTTGCTGTGCTTGTTTCTGTGCTGAAAACCGAAAATCTAAAGTTTTTAAGCTTCCAAAAAAGCGACGCTGTGCTGTTTTCACACAGGTAAATGTTTACTACAGGCCCATAGAAGTACATTCACAAATTTCCAGCTTTCCATAAGCTCTATTTCCAAAAAAATATTGATTTCAACATGTAATACCTTAGCGCAAAAAGCTAGATTTGATATTTTTCAAGAACAAGCGCTTCCGGAAAGCTGAAAGATGTATTACTGAAGGCCTGTAGTATACATTTACCTGTGTGAAAACAGCGCAGTATCGCTTTTTGGAAGCATGAGAAATTTATTCTCGGTTTCTTACGTAGAAACAAACACAGCAACGACACATATGAATGTGTTTTGTGGAGTGTATATGCGTGAGGGAGTTTATGATTTGATAAGTTTTCTTCGGGCAAAGTTACAGAAAATTTTAATTTTTTGGGCATCCAGAAGTTCTCAGATTTCTGCTTCTAAATCGTGATGTGCTAAAGCTAGTGCAAACACTTATAGCCATCTTATAGAGCTTGCTTTGCTCTATCGAACGGTACCCTGCATTATAATCAGAATGGAGAAGTGTGTGAGCTATTGCTTCAGAAAGTCAAAATTGAAAAAACTTATGAGACAACTTAATAGATAGCTTATATTAGCCATGACGCCAGAAGGTCCCCAAGTTCGGTAAACATATGCAAGATCCTAATTGTTATGTTTTTTGAAATTTGCGTGTTACATGCCATCCTTCCATTTCTAGTTTACAATTAATGATTGACATCTAATACATGAAAAGTTAACAAGTAACCAGCTTCATAACATAGGCACGACTAGTACCCTTTACCTTTAGCTCAGTGGCACCCGTCACTGGCTCTACGCTATCTGCTCTCCTTGTCAATATCGCCTCCAATTGCGTCATCATTGTGAACGAGGCGGAAGCATTGCACGCTTTTACAGTGTTGGTACAGGTTGAGATACTTCGGAGCTTGCTTACAAGTTCATCTTGAGGTTGTTGCAACAGACTGCCTTGCCTACCTTCCTTTGCTTCATTCGTACCGGATAGCATGAGAGCGACTGTAGCGCAGTGTCACTGCGTGCCGTCGGCGATCATTGAAGGGTTTGGTCGCGCGGGCGCGTAAGTTTTGCAGCAACCAAGGCACGGTCGTGAGCAGCATGTACTTCAGTTGGACACGTTGTGACCTCACTTTCTTTACGTCACGACGTATTTCGAGAGTTTACTAGGGCAAAGTATCATTCCTTTCCTGGGTCCAGTCTTTTGATCAGCCTTCATCCCTGATTTTTCGGAATTTGCTTCCTTGGGGTAAACAAACAAAAGCGAGGTCTGCTTTGTCACTAGTAATTCTTGTAAGAGCTGCATTGAGGTCTTGATCAATTTGATAGTGACCAAATGAGTTTAAAGGTAGACCAATAGTTTTGAAAAGCACTACCAAAATGGCACTTGTTGAACACTATTCATTCGCGCTCTTAACACAGGAATGTTTTAAACATTACCTGGCCACCTGGATTCCATAAAATCAATCTGTCTGTGCACTTTTATTGCTAACATAGTAGGCTACGCAGTGCCAAACATGTGCGCCAGATAAGAGGAGAGTTTTAAAAAATAAAAAGTCGATGACCCCGAGGTTGATTTATAAGTAACTAGCTGGCTTACCCGGCTCCGCCGTATCCGGACCAAACTTGGCACACATACACTTCGGGCCCCGGCGCGTGTCACAGTCCACTTTTCGTTATCGATCGATGTCGATCTTACCGATTTTTATCGATTTTTTCGCACAGTTCACCTACAGGGCTAGGAGTTGGCACAGGGGGGAAGTGAGCATGGGGATTCCGAATACAATATTAGTTTTCAGAATTATCGGTTACTTTTATTGATTTTATCGATTTTTTGTAAATTTTGACATGCGAGGCTGGGATTTTGCACAGGGGGGTAATCGAGCATGCTGATTACGAACACAATATTAGTTTTCAGGATCGTCCATTACTTTTATCGATTTTATCAATTTTTTTGTAAAGTTTGACCTGCGGGGCTGGGAGTTTGCACAGGGGGGTAATCGAGCATGCAGATTACGAATACAATATTAGTTTTTGGAATTATCCATTACTTCTATCGATTTTATCGATTTTGCAAAATTTGAGCTAGGGGGCTGGAATTTGGCACAGGGGTGTAATCGAGCATGCTGATCACCCCCTTGGGGATGATCAGCATGCTCGATTACCCCCCTGTGCCAACTCCCAGCCCCCTAGCTCAAACTTTGCAAAAAATCGATAAAATCGATAAAAGTAATCGATAATCCCGAAAACCAATATTGTATTCGGAATCCCCATGCTCGATTACCCCCCTGCGCGAACTCCCAGCCCCGTAGCTCAAACTTTGCAAAAAAATCGATAAAATTGATAAAAGTAATCGATAATCCTGAAAACCAATATTGTATTCGGAATCCCCATGCTCGATTACCCCCCTGTGCCAACTCCCAGCCCCGTAGCTCAAACTTTGCAAAAAAATCGATAAAATCGATAAAAGTAATCGATAATCCTGAAAACCAATATTGTATTCGGAATCCCCATGCTCGATTACCCCCCTATGCCAACTCCCAGCCCCGTAGGTGAACTCAGCAAAAAAATCGATAAAAATCGATAAAATCGATATCGATCGATGACGAAAAGTAGCCTATGACACCCGCCGGGGCCCGTAGTGTATGTGTGCCAAGTTTGGTCCGGATCGGTTCAGAAATGGAATTTTCTATTCGGAACATACGTACATACATACAGACAGACAGACAAACAGACATTCAGCTTTATATATAAGATACACGTTCTAACGATTAAGGGTAGACACAAACTGTAAGCATCTAATTCGTTGAAGCTCTGCAATATGGCTTACAACAATCGCAAAAAGTTCGGTCCACATGATTTCTGAAGTTTCTCGAAAATTTCTCGACCCATTTTGGGGTCGACCCATTTTGGGGTCGACCCATTTTGGGGAAGGCCCCTCCCCCAAGAATGGGTCGAAAAATTTTAGAAACTTACCTATATGGGTTACTAGCTGGCTTACCCGGCTCCGCCGTATCCGGACCAAACTTGGCACACATACACTTCGGGCCCCGGCGGGTGTCACAGTCCACTTTTCGTTATCGATCGATGTCGATTTTACCGATTTTTATCGATTTTTTCGCAGAGTTCACCTACAGGGCTAGGAGTTGGCACAGGGGGGAAGTGAGCATGGGAATTCCGAATACAATATTAGTTTTCAGAATTATCGGTTACTTTTATTGATTTTCTCGATTTTTTGTAAATTTTGACATGCGAGGCTGAGATTTTGCACAGGGGGGTAATCGAGCATGCTGATTACGAACACAATATTAGTTTTCAGGATCGTCCATTACTTTTATCGATTTTATCGATTTTTTTGTAAAGTTTGACCTGCGGGGCTGGGAGTTTGCACAGGGGGTAATCGAGCATGCAGATTACGAATACAATATTAGTTTTCAAGATTGTCCATTACTTTTATCGATTTTATCGATTTTTTGAAAATTTGAGCTAGGGGGCTGGAATTTGGCACAGGGGTGTAATCGAGCATGCTGATCACCCCCCTTGGGGATGATCAGCATGCTCGAATACCCCCCTGTGCCAACTCCCAGCCCCCTAGCTCCAACTTTGCAAAAAATCGATAAAATCGATAAAAGTAATCGATAACCCCGAAAACCAATATTGTATTCGGAATCCCCATGCTCGATTACCCCCCTGTGCCAACTCCCAGCCCCGTAGCTCAAACTTTGCAAAAAAATCGATAAAATCGATAAAAGTAATCGATAATCCTGGGAACCAATATTGTATTCGGAATCCCCATGCTCGATTACCCCCCTGTGCCAACTCCCAGCTCCGTAGGTGAACTCAGCAAAAAAATCGATAAAAATCGATAAAATCGATATCGATCGATGACGAAAAGTAGCCTATGACACCCGCCGGGGCCCGTAGTGTATGTGTGCCAAGTTTGGTCCGGATCGGTTCAGAAATGGAATTTTCTATTCGGAACATACGTACACACATACATACAGACAGACATACATACATACATACAAACAGACATTCAGCTTTATATATAAGATAAAAGTGTACAATCGACATGTTTATTATTGTAAATAATAAATTAATTTACAAATTTTCTAAAAACTCAAATTAACCTTATAAAAAAATTTTCCCGGGGGCGTGGCTGACACCACGTCCCCTTCTTCCAAATTTTTTATGGGGGTGGAGACCCGCGCAAATTTTGAGAAGCACCTCAAAAAATTTTTCGGAGTGCGTGTCCCCCCTCTCTCCCCCCTTTCCGAAATCCTGGGACCGCCACTGCCAAACACTAATATGCACAGTTGCTAAAATTTTTCAAACGCTGGAAACCGGGAAAACGAAATTCTGCAAATTGTCAAAGTAATGCTCGGCTGCTCTGCTCTCAGTTTTATACTTGATGTTGGAGAAATATTAACTCCAATATACGAATTTAAAAAAGAGACGATTCTGTAGGTTTTTTTTTCAATGATTTCTTGAGTATAAGTCCAGTAATATTCACAATGTCTGATCTGAGAATGAGCTGGATCTAAAGTATGTTGCTTCAAATATGAAAATTCGTAACTGCTTTCAATATGAATGCATTTGCTCACAATAAATCTTTTCAAACAGAAACGATTATCTACTTTTGAATAATCCTTTGTGACTCATTGACGACAAGGCGCTCCAGAGATGAAAATTCAAATAGGAAAACCAGTCGAGCTCTCGATATACAGGGTGTCCCAAAAAAATGTATCGAACGTTTGATCGTTAACATCTCTCTTCCCAAGAAGTCTTTTGACTTGCTTCAGATACCGTATTGTAGAGCTGGCTTCAACTTAGATTAGCATTATAGAATGAATCATTCATCTCACTTCATTACTGTAGGATTACGGTAGAAACTTGAAACATATCGTGTCAATGTGGAAAAAACTGCCGTCTCAAAATTTTTCAAAAAATTGTGAAAACTTGTGTATTGGGGTTTTTATGGACGCGAGTTCAATACTCAACTATTCACAAGATTGCGAAGCTTTCTAAACGGTGTAACCGCACTTTTTAGGAACATTTAAGAAATGGCCGCTACCTCTTACCTGGCATAACTCTTCAATAAAACATCATAATAGATTGGGAACTATACAGTTAGAATCAGCAACTCTAATTAGCCTAGTGTAAAAGTTTTCAGGCAGTTTTGTTTCCTTTCTGGGGCAAAATATGGCCTTTCATTGCTTAAAACCCTCGTTGAAGTTTCTACCGTAGTCCTACAGTAATAATGAGAGATGAAGATTCGTTCTATAATGCAAATCTAAGTTGAAGCCAGCTCTACAGATTGGTACCTGAAGCAAGGAAAAAGACTTCTTTTGAAGAGAGATTAACCACCAAACGTTCGATACATTTTTTTGGGACACCCTGTATAATAAATAAAACGCAAAAATCTGAAACGCTCCAAAAATCTGAAAGCATGTTTTACTAACTGCTTGAGCTGCTCTTTCTAAGAATGCAAAATTTGTGTATTTCAATGTTGTATTGTCAAATGATTAAAGGCAAGATCAACGCCTTAGATAAGCTTTGCAATTTGGTAATCGTTTCAGGAAATGACGCGAAATAATTGAAGTTTCACTTTTGGAATGCTTTTTGATAACATATTTTCACACTTTGCAAGCAAATAAATTCTATCCAACTGTCCGGTCTAACTGAAGCATACATTAATGATATGATCTGAATTTTTGCAGCGGATGGACAAATACTCGTTTTCTTGCTCGTATTTTCCGTAATACAAATTTGTAGTACAAACATAGAATTCCAGGTTTCTGCAAGAAATCGCGAAAAATGCAAAAAGGTATTTTTGCCTCGCATTTCCCTTGAAAATCATAACTGTGCATAAAAATTTGAACAATCTGATAGACATAGAATAGACAAACATACAAACAGGCGAACAGACATACAGGCAGAGGATTAGACAGACAGACCATCCAGATGGATAGGTAGATACACATAAAGAAAGACACACAAACGTAAACACATATACACGTATACAATATACACTTACACAAATACATATCTTATATATAAAGCTGAATGTCTTTGTCTGTCTGTATGTCTGTACGTATGTTCCGAATTGGAAATTCCATTTCTGAACCGATCCGGGCCAAACTTGGCACACATACACTTTGGGCCCCGGCGGGTGTCATTGGCTACTTTTCGTCATCGATCGATATCGATTTTATCGATTTTTTGCAAAATTTGAGCTACGGGCCTGGGAGTTGGCACAGGGGGGTAATCGAGCATGCTGATTACGAATATAATAATGACAGGGCCGGGCGGAGCCGGGTAAGTCAACTAGTTCATCTATATGCATAATTTTTCCACCACATACATGCTTAAAGTCAGCCTCTAAATAGGGAAGACACTTATTGCCTTGTAAAACGTGGAACGTGTACGAAATGTGTAAACGTGAAAATGTGTAAACGTGTACGAAATGATTTGCTATGAACAGAATCAACAAACAGCATTGAGTGTATACAAATCTGGGGACGTGTCATGTGTTCACTGGGCTAATTTCTTAACAATAGGGTATCATCAAAGTAGTGATTTTTCACTTTCGGCTTTCCCTTCTACACGGAATCGGATGCGCTTTCAATTTCACCAGAAATTCCAAGAATGAGAAACAAGCGAACATGTTGTGTGTCCTTTCTTTGAAGCTCAACTAATCCATTCGTTGTGTAACGTTTTGAAGGTTAAATCTGGAAGCAGTAAACGGTGCTTCGAATACCAATGCATTACGCGATTTAAAATAACTTAAAACTCCAAAATTTATGTTTTCATCAAAACTCAAACTGTCCTAACGAATATTTGACAAAAAAATTACCATGGTATTGGGAGGATGCAAAAATCGATGGTTGTGCTTCACAAACAAGACTACTGATTTTTAACAGTGACAGCTTAAGACTTTAAGAGAGAAGAGCGTAGCTCAATAACTTGTACTGTAATTACGTACTACCCTCGCGTCATTGTAATTACGAAGAGGGGAACTGCGTGTTTTGTAAGATGATTCACGAACAAATTCCGCTTGGAAGTCCGCGATAGAAGACGTCTCTTATAGCTGACTTTCACCAACTATGATGCATGTAGATGTCTCAAATTGAGATTGCAAGTCCCTAACTTTGAGACTTATTATGATCACCGTATACATTGAGCAGTCCCGAAAATTCTGTTGTCTCATACTGAACAGATTGCTTGATTGTACCTATTGAGAAGAAGAAGCTTTGAAGTTTTTTTGCAAAAGTTCACAGATGTGCAAGCGGGAGAATGAGACCACACAAGATTCGATCACTTTGAATAAGGCATTTGGCTAACGTAACAATAGCACCTGTGATCGTCAGTGCATGAGTTTCATGCACTATTCTTACTGAGCGAAAAAATTCGGTGCTGCTTTGAGGTTGTTAAGGATTTTATATCTTGAAAAAATGCAAAAGCTGAAGCTGTTTTGTAATGCTCACTGGAAAAAGGTGTTTAAAGAGACGTCCCATCAATATAACAAGTTTTTTGATAGGGAAGAATCGTCGCTATGTCACCGCTGAGCCGATATCATCCTCTTTTCAATGAAAAACAGTGCAAATTCATTAATGAAATTGACGAGCTTTCTAAATACAGGCATTTAATGGATATTTCTCGGTGTGAAGTGGGGCGAAGAGGGAGGTTAGAAGCAAGTTAAATGACTTTTGGAGCCTTCTCAGGAAGCTGAATACTCTCAACTCATACAAATGAAGGTTTATAGCGGCAGCCATTTATGCATAGCAATAGGGCGAATAGGCTCTGAACCTTGGTTGAGCTAGTGATATGATACAACACCATTCGTTGCTCGTTTTCGAGCTTGTAACAAGAGAAGCATATTCAGTCGAAGGGCTTTTTTAGTGGGATGATTACAATACTAAGACATGAAAGGCTGATCCCAAATCTGCTTTCCTTAGGAACATATGGGCGAGAAATGAGCGCTCGTTAAAGCAAATAGTTGGATGTGAAAGTAGGGCAAAAATAGGCGTAATACTTTTTGTAGCTTTCCAATGGAGCAGTGACAGTGGTCAGCGCACTTCATTGAATAAAAACTCTGTTTTGAACTTGGGTCCGAAATTAAAAATTCGATTAATCGGAAAAGAAATCGTTCGAATATATTCGCATCAAATTCGACGTTCGGAGTTTTTTCATTCCCGAACTAAATTCGAAACTTCATTACGCAAGAAACAGAGTCTCTAAAATATTTCATTCAAACGTTACAATCGAATTCGTATGCGAATGAAATCGTTTCCTTTCTCAAATTATTCGTGTTTGTTGCCTAGCTGCGTACCAAGCCCACTCCGTTCGCGTTTCTTCCGCAAAACTTGATAATTTAACTTTTTGAGCCGTAATCACCTTTAACATGTTCAAAAACCCGCACTTTTTGACCAGTGAGGTAGTACTCATATGGCACTAAACCAGCAAATCAGAAAAAAACAGCCGAATTCAAGCTCATGGTTCGAGTTCAAATACTGGAAACGTGCTGGCATGCCTGTTTCTCTTCTTTTGCGTTGCTGATGCTTTTGGTCCGCAAAGGTCCACTTTAGTGAGCACTCTTGCTTGTAAAACTCATGTTGCGCAACTGCCTCTATTGTTTATTTTAGAGAAAAATCGCGAACGACGGTGTATTCGTGCGAAGAGCTGTAGTGGAGGAATAAACCAAAGGAATAAACCACAAACCAGCCAATTTTGAGCTACGAAATCAAAAGTTGGTAAGGGAGAGGGGTAAGTGAGTTTTTTATCCTCGCATTTTCCTTTTTTCCGTTTTTCCTCTTTGGCAGGGTCCGCGTTTTTTTGGGTCGGAATGACCCTCAGTGACGTGATGGGGTTTCCATCAGCCGGTGTGTCGCCTGCCCTTAGTGAGGAGCGGCTTGGCGCTGGAATCGGAGGACGCGGCGCCGCGCCCAGGGTAGTACTGAACCAGTGACTTCGCGAAGACAAGGCCGCTGGAATGCCGGGCGCTACGTCGCTAGGCCATATCCGCCTTATAAATTAAGTAAACATGTACTTTATCGATTTTATCAATTTTTGGAAAACCTCAAATCAAGAGGCAATAGGTAAAGGAGAGAAAGCGAAGGGTGCTGATTATGAATAAAAATTCCCTTTATAGATTTTTATCGGTTCTTGAAAAAGTTCGAGCTACGAGGCTGGGAGTTGCTGTAATACTTTTTCGGAACGCATTCATTCGAAAAGTTTCAAACCTCGAACTCATTCGATGTTCCTTTATTCGAGATTTTTGATTTTATTCTATATTCGTTTATGCAATATTTTCATTTTCAAATCTATTTGATATTCTTTCATTCGATGAAAAATTTTGAACTTCTCAAGTAGACTCCAAAGGTTTCGCAAATTACGGCGGCCAACTTATCTTATATATAAAGCTGAATGTCTGTATGTCTGTATGTCTGTCTGTACGTATGTGCGGAATAGAAATTTTTATTTCTGAACCGATTTGGACCAAACTTGGCACACATATACTTCGGGGCAGGGAGCGTGTCATAGGCTACTTTTCGTTATCGATCGATATCGATTTTATCGATTTTTTGCAAAATTTGAGCTACGGGGCTGGGAGTTGGCACAGGGGGGTCATCGAGCATGCTGATTACGAATATAATAATGACAGGGCCGGGCGGAGCCGGGTTTGCCAGCTAGTTTCCTGATAGAGCAGGCTATGCTTTATGAAACCACTTTGCAGCTTCGATACAGAAGTTTTAGCTTTTAGCTACAACGGTTTTTGTATCGAGCACTACTGAGAAGGGAAGGCCGCTTGGTCGATGTGACGATTCTGGAAGATGACGTATAGCAACGGAAGAGCTTGGAACGTTGATCTCAGATATACATTCTGTAAATATAGCGTTCTTTGAAATAAGTGATAAGCTTTTCTTATGCCAAATTTGTTTGAGTTTACGTTTTGAGTCACGTGGAAGTTTCCAATAAAAATATCCATGCTCAAGCAAGCGACCCATTTACAGTTCTAATCTGATTTCTGAACGTTTTAAAGTATTGTTCAATCGTGTTTTCATTTTCATGCTGTCATTTATTTTCTTTCTATGTGTCACTTCTACGAATATAGAAAAGACCACAAGTTCCTATAGAAAAGCGCTTCGCAAATATAGAAGGTAAATTTGAAGTTAGCGTTCTAAGCTCTATCCGCTGGTATATATCACCCTCTGAATCACCACTTCGAGCAAGCGGCTTTCCCTTGTAAAAACCAATTTCATAGAACAATAAAATCACTTATGTGAAGGAAACTTTAAATTTTGGAAAAAAGTTGGCATGAAACTAATGCTGCAAGCTGATACGAGGCACGCTTTAAGGTCTTGCTCCTCGTATAGCGAGCAGTGTCAACATTCATTTACTTTCCACTTCTTAGATTTAATTCTTGATTGCTTTGAATTCTTCGACTTCACCCTTGTGTAGTGCCATATGGTATTTTCAGTGTCATAAATTATTTCGAAAATAACATAAAAATTAAAACGTAATTATGTCATGTTTAATTATGTTCAATTTAGAAACACCACAATCAACTTTTTTCATCCTTGCTCACTCGTTCTGATTATCAACTTAAATAAAAATGGGTTATTGAGTTTTTCACTGTTTTAGGTCGATGATCAAATCTAACAGACAAGCAAAAGGCTAGTGGCTACATAATCTTTGATTCACTGGTTTGGCGTCTGGAAGGCGGGGCTTTGTGACTTAATTAAGGCGCTCGCGCCCGCGACGAGTCTGCGTCTCCCTCGCAAGCGTGCTCTCTGATTATAGTCTAGCCTCAACTAGATCACGAAGTCGCGCCTTCCAGGCCCAAGCCATTTGAATCAAAGGATACATAGATGTCTTCAAACTAGCAATAAAGCGAGCGGAAACACGGACGCCAAATTGTGCGCTTGAAGATTTCAATAGCAATGGAGCATGAAAAGCGATTACAATAGATTCCCCTAGCTCAACAACATATTCATGTTCTTTATACTCTGGGAGAATGTGTGACGCACACCTTTGCTTAGGCAGTCTTTTTACGTGTGTCAAATGAGTGATCGGTCATAAGCGTATGAAGCGAATCACGTAATCACACGCTGATAGTAAGTTGCTTCAAAGTTTTTGCTTTCCTCGAGGTTTCACAAATTCTTATAATACCTTTGACATGCATCCTATGCTTGTTGAAGGCCCCAATTTTCGGTGTCCTTACGATGCAAAAGCTTGTAGCAAGAACAATAAGCCATTTATATCTACGAAGAAGAATTGAAATTTGAAAGCATTGCTAATGCAACTTACTCAGTTTTATATCGCTTTCAGAAAGAAATTTGGTTTTGACATTTTCGGTTTATGCACAGGTTCGGCATGTTCTCAAAAGGGAAGTGCAAAAAAATGACGGGAAACTCGAGAAGTTGCTGGAAATGAGAGGAACACTTGGATCGCTTCAGAAAATTCCACATGCCCGTCACAAATATCGCAAATAGCGCTTGCATTGGAATTAAACGCTATACAACAAAGGGAAGAAGACAAATTAAATGATATGCTCGCCGATTCCTTTCCAGATATATAATTCAAATAGATAAAATCTGCCTAGAAGACGTGTTTAAAATACTCATTATTAGAAGCGGAGATGAGCAAAGTTGAAGAAAGTCTTAAAATCTTAACCTAAATGAGTCAAAACACAAAATAATAACCATATTATTAACGATGGTAGCGTCCAAGGAAATCGGCTAATTTTTGTATTTTTTGGGCTTTATTCTCGCCTTGAAACCCATGGGTTACTGTGCCCGAAACGGCTGGAACCAGGGGACTTCAATGGCATACGGAGCTATGCGAACATGGTTTGTTATTGTTTGTGAGTGGTTGGCGAAGGAATTCAAATATGCTGATAAAAACATGCAATTTTTTTGTATCCTGGTCATATGATGATCTCGCTCTTGAATGGTTCAGTCAATTGCTCGCGTTCCATAGAAATATTAGTGTCCGCAGCCTGCCAGCATTCTGCGTTCAAATTAACATTCAGATGAAACATTTGGGGAAAAAATAGCACGAAATGGTTATTGAATTTCTACGGTAATTCTTTCTTTTGCGGCACTGCTCTCCCACGCAAAATTCATTTGAAAATTCGCTTTTGTATGATGAAAACTGAACAGCTGTACGACATTGGAATTATCATCGCAAACAGCTGCACTTTTACGTGTATTTTAGCTTTAATGCTGGTACATTTCGAGCACTACAATTGCTCATAGTCACCAAACATTGTTCGTAGTTCAAATCCACGACGAACGCTATTGTGCTTACTTGTACTCTAAAGCCAGAGCGAGCATCATTTCTTTCTAACTCATTAATTTCGTTGCTAGCGGTATATATGAAGCGAGGGGAATGAGAAAAAAATGAATGAAGCTGCTCTGCATTCTTAGCGTAAGTTAGACTTCTAACGCTTTCATGGACTTAGCCTTCAACATTTAGACTCTCCCTCTGATGGCTTTTGCTGCTGCTAAATATTCTTACAATACCTTTTCTATTCGTGCTCTCGATTGCGGCGTCGAGCCCTATGCCATAGCCTTCATGGACGAACTACTCTATCGACTAAAAAAGAATGGTGTAAGTTGATATCACGATCGTTTAAATTGCTTTTCAGATCATTTTTTCTCATCAGCCGGGAACGATTGCTTTGGAAAAAAAGCAATATAAATACTACAGATATTCTTCTATTCTTCGGGACAGCATAATAGACGATTGACTACCAATTTCAATTTCCCTGCAAATCTTGACTTTTTAGACAACTACATTCAACTGCTCACTCGCTTTGAGAGCTCGAGAAATTCTATCAAGTGCACCGAGTATGACTCACCTTGAAAAACATCAAGCCGATCATTTTTATCGCAAATTCAAGTGAGCTAAGCATATTGTCACTCCCAAATTTGTAACCATAGAAAACTTTTGAAGAAACGACATACCGAACTCCTACGAACTCGCTGTCAATGTTACCTATATGTTCGAGGTGAGCCTCTAGAATATTTTTTGAGTGTTGAAAGTCAAATTTTAATTTGTAAGTGACTGCTCAAAAATGAGACTGCCTCCTGAATCACCTTTTTTCTTTTTTTCAAGATTTAAAAGCCAATTGCTTTTTCTGTACATGAATCTGCCAGGCATTTATTTTTTCGACTGCAAATTCCATGCACGAATTATTGTTAACAGAAGTGTTGGTCCAACGTCCAACGAAAGTTTCGATTTCAATACTTCTATCAAAAGATGATGTAGAGAGCCTAGCGCCTTTAATTTTGAGTACTATAGCTGCTCTAACTTTGGGAATTCGTAATATTCAAAGGTAGTGGCTTGGGAAAGTTATTGGAGCTTCACACAACTACTTGGCTTCCTGGATCCGCTGAGCCCAGGAATGTGCTTGTCAAAAATGTGTTTATGGCGCTTTCCGGCCTCGACATCGCTGAAGGGGTGAGGGAGAGTTTCTCGCCAAAAACAGCGGCGGCACCTTAGAAGGCGGAAATTGCCTGACAAGCCCCTCCAGATTTACAAGACCGGAAAACATAGAAAGCGCTTAGTTGACTTTTCACACACACTCCTGAACTGAGCCCAGAAAGCCAGGTAGGATTAGAGAGCACGCAGCTGCCGTTTTTCCGACCCACTGCCGTTGCCAATTTTTGATAGTAATGCGCCCAAAATGTTTTCGCTGCTTTTCATGATGATAAGTCCGCTCTTCTTGGTTGGATTCAATAATTACAAAGGTAGGATACTAGGTCTAATGACGAATCAAAATAGTATGCATATCATTAAATGCGCCTGATGAGCTGAGTCCAAATCTATCTTTCTTATCTGCTAAGCGCTTCCACAGAAGCTAATCGGCGGTTAAAAGTGTAAAATTTTTGGAACGTAATGTGCATTGAATACCAGTTTGGGAGTGATTAATTGGCCTGGTTTTAAGTGAATTGACTACAAAAAGTGCATACATACAACGAACACAGTTTTTTTTCTGAACAAGCAGTTCTTGAAGATGTGGCACTGGATGTTTACCAAATGTTGACATTCAAACGCTTATAATTTCTTTTAGAGAAGAGCTTAGCGAATATGGGAGTTGGATGAAATCAGCTCATCACGATGCATCTTTTGGTATGCGTAATTTTCGGTGTGCCGTTGCGATTTTGGTATCCTTCCCTTGCTAGAATCTGGAACAGCCAAAGTATGTGCTAAAAAAAACTCATAGTTCGTTATGATCAAACATCCAACAAAATCGTGATAACCTTCAAAGGAAAAGTGTTACCAATTTTGTTTAGATAATTGAAATAATTAGCTTGATCTAGGTGTGGCTTTTCTAGCATTTCAATAGAACTATATCAGAAAGAGCAAAAAGCAGCATATAATTTTGCTTCGTACTACTTTGGCAGGGGGCCGGCACAAGTGTTGCTCATCATTTTCTTCTAAATGTGCCTCCAACTTTCTTCGTCTTTCCGTCTATCTTTCACTTTGAGCAGAAAGCATTGGCAATATCACTTCAAAGGAGCACCTTTATTTGCTTCTGATTTTTTACTCCAGCTCTTCTACACATAAAGGTTGTAGAACCCTCTCGTGATGAAAATATCCATCTGTTAGCACTCCCAATCTCAGAAGCTAGAATAAGAAAACCAACCACAGTAGTATATAGAGCCGACTTTATTCACATGTAGAGAACATGAACTAATTTCATAAAGCGAGCCGTCTTCTCTATGAAATTTTACAAAGTTTCCATGTTCATGTTTTGATAAACAAACTTGATCGTGTTAAGAGCAAACCTTATTTATTTACGTTTCGAATAAGTACTTGAGTCTTGAAAGAAATGATGGTTTTGCGTAGAAAAAAATAGCTCGAATAATGTTTTTTGATATAAATAGATACATAAAGGTTAGTTGCAAATTGCATAAATCAAAAAAATATTGTTCTAACTTTCCTTTTAAAAAATTTATCGTTTCAAACTACGTTTCTTCCAGCACGAATGGAAGTCTGAATTTTATCCCAAATATTAAAATTCGTTCTTCTAGAGATCAATTTTTGGGCTTCAAAATCTAAGGAATCCCTAGAATGCAAATCATGTGCTTGCGATAAGTTTGTGAGAAACGCTCACGTAATGTATACCTTTGAAATAAAAGTCCAATATAAACAAATCTGTGAAATCATTTCTTTAAATCCGGTCAATGTCTCAGCAATTCTTTTCAAAAATACATCAGGTTTTCTAGGATACTAATCTCACCGCAATCGGATGCGACTACTTAGTGAGGAACGATACGGAGACTACGTTTTATGTGTACTGTATTGTAGAAAACTACCTTCGAATTCAGTAAACATTTATAAGTCATTTTTCCAGCACAATTCCAGATTGAACGTTTTCTCATCTGTTCATTACCTTGTCGCTGACGTTTTTAACAGCATTAACTTTAGCCCTCACCAACAATAGTGACCGACTGATTGCGGCACGTTAGATAGACACTATTCCTCGATATTCCCGCGAAACACAAGCAACTTGGGTTTCTTTATATTAGGTTGTCCGGAAATTAATGTCCGTTTTGAATTTCAACCGCAACAAGTCATACACTTTTCATTCCTGAATTGCTTTTAAGGTATCATTCAATAGAGCAAAGCAAGCTCTGCAATATGGCTATCTTGCCTTAGCAACAGCTCTGATCCACCTCGAGTTTCGAGCCAAAAACTAAAAAGATTCAACTGCCTGAAAAATCAAGAAAAATCATAATTCGGTTCCACAAAAATTCTTACTTGCTCACGTAAACACTATCCACATAAGACATATATGTACGCTATTGCCGTATTTTTTCCTCTGTTAGAAAACGAAAAAACGAAAATTTCCATACTTTTGCAAAAGTGAAGCTGTGTCGTCCCTACATAAGTAGATGTATACTACAAATCTGTAGAAGTAAAAACGTGGATTTTCATCTTTTTACAAGCTTTAGTTCTCGAGAAATTTGAATTTTAGTTTGGACCACCTGACTAATGAAAGCTATATTCGATATTTCTCGAGAACTAAAGCTTGTAGAGAGCTGAATATTTACGCTTATACTTCTACAGATTTGTAGTACACATATACTTATGTGGGGACGACACAGCATCACTTTTGCAAAAGTATGAAAATTTTCGTTTTTTCGATTTCTAACAGAGGAAAAAGTACGGCAATAGCATACATTTATGTCTTATGTGGATAGTGTTTACGTGAGCAAGTTAGAATTTTTGTGGAATTCTTACGAACCGAATTATGATTTTTCTTGATTTTTCGGGCAGTTGAATCTTTTTAGTTTTCGGCTCGAAACTCGAGATCAGAGCTGTTGCTAAGGCAAGACAGCCATCTTGTAGAGCTTGCTTTGCTCTTTTGAACGATACCTTAAAAGCTATTCAGGAATGAAAAGTGTATGACTTGTTGCGGTTGAAATTCAAAACGGACATTAATTTCCGGACAACCTAATACTACGCCGCAGCACACAGCAGCCTGCCGCAGCACGCCGCGTCCTGCGGCGTAGTATTAAGGAACCCTTTGATACCATCAGCTCATGTCTGAATCAGGTTCTGTCTTTGAGCCAATTCTAATTTAGTATGTGACTCTGTACACAATGTGGGGCAACCGATCTCTTACTATCAAGTCCTCAGTGAAACCTTTTCTAGCGCAGCAAATTGTAGAAATGTGTTGTGAATATACATATACAATCAAACTAAAAGAGGCAAAGAAATATTGAAAATAAACAGGCAATAGTCTTACAGGCCGTTAAGAAGTACGCACGTTGTGCAATATGCGCATCAACTTACAAATGGTTCGGCGATAGATGGACTCGAAATCAAAAGGAGTTCACTTCCTCATAATGAGAAATATAGCAATGTATATTATCTTCATAGCACAAGAATCTTGTAGAGAAGCACATAGCTGGAGTTTGACTAATTTACAGTGGTTACAATTTTGCTTTTTAACATCTACAGTAGAATGATGAGAGCCCTCCACATTTGCAGTGGTGTATATAGTATAACCGTGAAAACACGCTTTTACCGTGCTGAACTGCTTTCAAGACGCTGGTCAACACTTCAAGTCGGAGTTCTGCTCAATCACAAAAAGAATTTTTAGGGGTAGATAAGATGTGATCGAGAAGTAATCTTACTATAATATCTTTTGGATATCTTTTGTAATCTTTCAACGCGATATTACGGGAGTACTTTCCTCCCCCCCCCCCTATGCTTTACTGCTGTGCTATGTGCTCTCTTACAGTGTTAAGAAGAGGTTCGCGATAACGAGGGCAGGCCAGATAATCTGTCATACAAATAGGATCCATATGGCTTGCAAAACAGCGATGTAAACCGATGATGGTGTTCGTAGCAATTTTCAGACTGTATGCACTTTAAGTGCAAATGGGAGCTTGTTCTGCATGGAAAGTGCAAGTAGAGAATGTAGGCAATAATCGTCAAAGACCACCATCTCATTCACAAACAAGCAGAGATCAAGTGCTTGTCATGTGTGAAGAAACAACAACGAAACATTGTTTTCAGACCACAAATTAGTGCAAATGTCTAGCCCCCAGCTCCTATTGATTTGGAAAACTGCCGCCCTATTTGCTTTCCAGCCCAATGCTCCTTAAAATTAAAAATTGGTTTTCGAAGAACGTTATGATTTTGAAGCAATACGAAGGTTAGGAAAATAGGAAAATATAATTTATCCATTTTACGGAAATTCGCCGAAACCTCCTTTGGGTGTTTTGCTTCGTAAAAATAATGCTTTTGCTTCGTAAAAATATTGCTTTTGCCTCTGGAAACAAAAAAAGAGGAAGTTACGTCTTATTGGAAGAAAAGAATCAGTCTCATGTGGTAGTACACTTTGCTAAATTCTTGGAAACATCTTGCTAAATTTCTAGGTTCAATGCTGAATTTCACAAAACCTCTGAAAACTTATTTTCGGATGCTTCTACATTGGCAAATATTGTTTTTGCCTCTAAAAGCAGAGGGAACTCGGTCTGCTGGAAAAAGACTCAACAACCAAACATTTGTAACAACTAGAAATGACTTTGCGAGACACTATAAGGAGAGTATAGGACATGATGGCGAAGATGGGTGCGTTTGGGCCGTTGCGCAGTTCCTGAGTGCCAGCCTGAGTTGGGGTTAAATCAGCTGTTCTACATAGTTTACTACTGAAGTGGTTCCCATGTTTAAAAGCTCTGTTTCTGGTAAAAATTCAGTCTCTTGCTATTCTTAGGTGCACGCAGCCAGCTATCACTGCATCTGCCCACTCAGACAATCGCTGGGGGCAGGCGGGCACCGGAAAAATAGATTGCTTATTTCTCGCACCCCGCTCGCGGATTTTTTGGAAAGCAATCAGGATTTTTCGGAAGACCGCTTCCTGAGTCAGCGGATTTTTGGGAGACCGCCTGTTGAATTTTTTTCGCTTATCTTTTGTATATTGCTGAACTCTGAGGAATCGAGAACCCAGCAAGCGGTCTTCCGAAAAGTCCTGATTGCTTTCCAAAAAATCCGCGAGCGGGGTGCGAGAAATCAGCAATCTATTTTTCCGGTGCCCGCCTGCCCCCGGCGATTGTCTGAGCACTTACCGACCCGTAGGGTCGCTAATTCTATTATATTCACAGATCACCACATATCACGAATCGGTGAGTTGATATCATCAATGTCGTGGAAGTAATTGAAGTTCAGTTGTGGTTTTTGGTTCTGACATTCTCAACACTTGCATAAGAAGCCGGAAAATTTTTACCATTTTTCGAAGAGAAAATATTAGGTCGGTCCGAAAGTTCGTGCTGTTTTTCAAACCTATGCTAGAACAATATAAAGATGAACAACGTTCCAAACCACGTTCGATGCAGAATTTCTTCCTTTAAATGGTTGCTTTTATTCAATCTTTTGATATCCGCTCGAGAAATCGTCGGGATCTTCAACCCATGTTTTTCACTCATCTTGAGCCTTTCTATTTTGCAAAATTTCCATATTTAACTTTCGGACTAGTCATAACATTTGGATAAATGCGCTACTATGCATTTTTTCGCCATCTCTAGCTGGCTTTTCAGAATTTCTAAGATGTTTTTCGACGCTATTAATTTCGATATTCCGACATTCCAATCCTCATCTCTATATAATTGAAGCAAAAAACTGTGTGTCTTTGTGTCTGTGCACAGTCATGAAGGATGAGCGGTGGAGCCCATTTTGATCTGCTGGTTCATGATCTGATAAGGACGAAGAAGCGAACTCAGGACGAGTCGAAATCAGAAGGGTAAACTTCGCTACATGAGAGACAAGCACGATGGACAGGCTCCAGAGCGGGGTGGAACCCGGGAAGCCAGCTCGTAGAACATTAAACTCGAACAACCGGTGTGTCATGTAATGCAGCTTTTTCTCCTCTTTCTGATAGACTTTTTTTCTTCCTAATGTGTGTAATATTAGGTTGGCTCGAAAGTTCTAGGAAATTTTTGAACTAGATCTGCTATTTCTCGAAACCTAACGCATATACATTAGATAGAGTACCATTCGATAAAGCAAAGCAAGCTCTACAAAATGGTGTGCAAAACTTCGCACCAACTTCGACCCACCGTCAGTTTACACGCAAAATCTGAGTCGTACTAAAATTCAAAAAGTCGCAAGAAATTCATATCTTTGTTCAAACAAATTCCACTGACCTCCAACTTGCTCACAAAAATTGCATACCACATCAGACACTCATATCCACCGTTCCTGTATATTTTCCTCATCTGGAAATCGAGAAAACGAAAATTTTTAAGCTTATGTGAAAACTAAGCTGTGCTGTTTCCACCCATGTGATTGAATAGTACAAACTCTTAGAAGTATAACCGTAAATTTTCAGCTTTCCGTAAGCTCTAGTTGTCGAAAAATATTGATTTTTGCATGGAACGCCCGAGTGAGGAGAGCTCAATTCGGTAATTTTTAGGAGCTAAGGCCTGTAGAAAGCTGAAAATTTACGGTTATACTTCTAAGGGCTTGAACTATTTAATTACGTGGGTGGAAACAGCACAACTTCGTTTTTTACATAGGCTTGAAAATTTTCGTTTTTCCGACTTTCAGATGAGGAAAAAATACAGGAACGGTGCATATGATTGTCTGATGTGGTGTGAAATTTCTGTGTGCAAGTTGGAGGTCAGTAGAATTTGTCTGAACAAAGATATGAATTTCTTGCGACTTTTTGAATTTCAGTACGACTCAGATTTTGGGTGTAAACTAACGGTGGGTCGAAATTGGTGCGAAGTTTTGCACACCATTTTGTAGAGCTTCTTTGCTTTATCTAATGGTACCTCAATCTGATGTATATGCGTTAAGTTTCGAGAAATAGCAGATCTAG